GGTTTTTCTGGGTTCATCTGGGTCTCTGTTGTTTTGTAAGGATAGCATTCCTACATGATCGGGACCCGCCCTTCTGAAGGGTGACCTCATGGTAACTGATAACACCTGCAAAAAGCCTCTTTCCAAACAAGGTAGTGTGCGCAGGTACTGTGGTTAGCCCTTTTGTGAGTTCTCTTAGGGGACACGTTTCAGCTCACTGCGCCATGCAGTGAGAACCGCACGGAACCACCACGGTGCCGGGGCAGCCACCCCGGCCTGCCCTACCCCCACTGCCTGCACCCGGGACACTGCTGTCTGCACTCTGGCTGGAGACAGACTTCTTTCACCAGAGCTGTCGTTTTGGTTTTGTTTTACTGAAACACAATCGTTCTGTCTGCCTCATTTTGCAGGTAGTTTTTTAACTTAAGGCATCCACACACGTTGACTGCCCAGGTTCTCAGAAGGTGGCCAGCAGCCCAGGGTGTAGGAGATATGTCTGTCTGCTGAGGGTCAGTCAGGAGGTGGTCTCCAGTTCTCTCCAGCGACCATCCATGCCTCATCCATGCTCTGGAGGCTCAAAACGAGATTCCTTTGAACCCAGCAAGCCCAGGTCTAAAAGTTTCTCTTGGGGAAGTAGCCAGTAATGCCGAGAACATGCTGTCCATGGCTATTCAGCACGAGTTTGTGAGGACGGGGGGGCGCTGAGGTGTGGTTGACACGCGGAGTGATGAAGTGTGCAGCTGTGATGTAAAGCCGCACACGGGTGACACACACGTGGGTGGAGGTGGGGGTGGGGCATAACCTGTGCTGAGCCCACCTGCTGGGGGGGGAGAGGAGCCGGGAGGAGGTGGAGAGGGGCTGCAGGATCGTCCGAGCCCTGTGTGCCTTCACGCGCCCACGCTTCCCGTAATGAGCCCCACTGCTTTGTGCCCCAACGCACCAAAGGGTGAAAACGTCCCTGCGCCCTGTCCTGCTCCAGTTCTCGCTCCTGGAGGTTTTGTGGGGACTTGCTGGAAGGCAGTGGGCCGTGCAGCAGTGAGTGGCTCCCTTGCCGCTCTGCCCACTGGGCTGTGCCCAACCCACAGGCCATCACGACGCGGGAGGAGCTGCACAAACAGCACGCGCAGGGCCTGCAGGAGAAGGACGAGCTGCGGAAGCGCGTCCGAGAACTCGGGGAGAAGGCGGATGAGCTCCAGCTGCAGCTGTTCCAGTGCGAGGGCAAGCTCCTGGCCGCAGAGGGTCGGCTCAGGCGGCAGCAGCCGGAGACGCTCGTCCTGGTGCGCGGGGGCCCAGGGAGGGGCCACGGAGGGACCCAGGGAGGGGCCACGGAGGGGCCTGGGGGGGGCCACGGAGGGACCCAGGGAGGGGCCACGGAGGGGCCTGGGGGGGCCACGGAGGGACCCAGGGAGGGGCCACGGAGGGGCCTGGGGGGGGCCACGGAGGGACCCAGGGAGGGGCCACGGAGGGGCCTGGGG